AAAATGAAGGAATTTTGATTGGGCAAAGGGGAGGGAGGGGAAGGGATGGAGTATGGGAACAGGAAAGATGGTGGAATGCAATGGACATTATTACCTTAGGAACGTATATGACTGCACATATAGTGTGACACTACATTGTGTATAATCAGAGAAATGAAAAGTCATGCTGCAATTGTGTACAATGAATCAAAATGCATTCTGCTGTCATATATACCTAATTAAAATTAATAAACACATTTATCTTTTAAAACAACTAAATACATAAACTGCTATACAACAAGCCTTAGGAATCCAACCCAGGGCCTTTGTGCATGCTAGGCAAGCACTTTACTGATCTATACTCCCAGTCCCTATATTATTTTTATTAAGAAAAAAATGGGAGAAAAAACAAATATACAAAATAAGAAATAGGGGGCTGGGGCTGTAGCTCAGTGGTGAAGCACTTGCCTCACATGTGTGAGGCACTGGGTTTGATCCTCAGCACTACATGAAAATAAAGATACTGTGTGTTCATCTACAACTAAATAAATATTTTTTTTAAAATAAGAAATAGTATGGAGTCAATAGCCATTGAAATAGAAGAAAAATTGAATCATCAGATTAGTTAGTAGGTACCTGCCAAATGATTTGAAAATCCAGATAAAAGTTATATTTTACTTATTATAAATACAGATCTCTAAACCTTAATGTATTGGAATTAGAAAGCTTAAAAAGACCAATTTTCATAGAAGAAATAGAAAAAGTTATTAAGGAAATATCCTATGAAAAGCACCAGGCACAGATGTTTTCTCAGGGAACTCTACCAAGCCTCTAAACACCAGATAGCCTCAATGCTCTATAAATTATTCCAGAGACTGATCAAGCCCTATAGGAATATCAACCTGTGGAAGAAGATGAACTAGCAAAAGAGAATGAGAAAGAACTTTGTGAGGAAGGAAACCCTGGGTCCCAAAATCTCAGAATGAAAGGATGTTCTAAAAAGGGAGACTTTCATGGAAAAAGATACACAGAGATCATGCACTTTGCCTGAGTAATAAGTGGAAGTTCAGGAGACTGAGAAAGCCAATTATTAACTCCTTCAGATAGTTGTCTGGGAAGGTGAGGAGAGAAGCCTGGTGGGGGCCCAGTGATGAGAGGTCTAGGGAAGAGGTTTTGAAATGGAGCAACTTGAGTAGGTTTATTCTTGACAAGGAGGGGACTATATGGTATTAGGGATCCAAAAGAGAATGACAGGCATAGTATAGATGAGTCTAGGTCTAATTAGTGCAGTGTTTCCTTTGATTCCTTACTATTAACTCTAAATGATATAGTCAATTTTTCCCAATATTCCATATTTACTTATCTTCTTCATTGATACAAAATACGTTTGTATCAGTGTCAAATTCTATGTTAATTTAGCAAACTTTACTAGGTGACAGTGACTGCTACTGACTATGAACACAAAGTTGGAAGAAGCCTAATTTCTTTTCCTGAGAAGCTAATAAGTCTAGTGGATAAGAAAAATCACAAGAGTGCTAGCACTTCCTGGTTTATAAAGCACTGGACAAATACTATCTCATTCAATCCTCACAACAAGCACTTGAAGAAATTAGAATTATCCCTATATCATTAGTGAAAAAAACAAGCCTGAGAAAGGTTAACTGTCCCAGATAGAGGACCTTAAACTAGAATCCAGGTTCTTATACTCCGTTCCCCAGTATGCAACACCTACTTTCAGAAAAAAGATCCTGTAGGGGCTAGGGTTGTGGCTCAGCGGTAGACCGCTTGCCTTGCACATACGAGACCCTGAGTTCGATCCTCAGCACCACATAAAAATAAATAAGTGAAATAAAGGTATTGTGTCCAACTACAACTAAAAAAATAAATATTAAAAAAGACCCTATAGAGACTGCCTAGTCACCTACTCAGATAGATGCTCAGTCAGCAGAATTGGGCTTTAACACACTCAAGAGTAGTTGACACCTTCCATCACATGTAAAATTGCCATCTAAATTTGGAAAGCAGCTACATCTAACTGCCTGGACAGTTCATAGCCTCTAGGGCACAAAGACTATTTTCTTTATCTTAAACCCAAGGACTGTGTTTAATTTACCTTTATATCTGTTCCCCCTAGGCTTTACATAGTGACTTTTAATATTTGCTACTTTAAAATTTGTGCAGATTCAGGGGCTGAGGTGGTGGGTCAGTGGTGGAGCATGTGCCTAGCATGTGTGAGGCACTGGGTTCGATCCTCAGCACCACATAAAAATAAATAAATAAAGATATGTGTCCATCTACAATTAAAAAAATATTATTTAAAATAAACAAACAAATAAATAAATAAATAAAATTTGTGCAGATTCATTCATTCCCCTAAGTTAATAACTCGGATACAGTTCTTTTTTTCCTTTGAAGTGCTAGGGACTGAACCCAGGACCTCACACATGCTAAGCACACATTCTACCAATGAATTACGTACCCTGCACCCTGATGCTTTTATTATTATTGGTTCCAGGGACTGAAAATTTTTTCAGCCATTTTTAAAAACCACTAGTCACATCCCAGCCCATTTTTATTCCTTATTTTGAGACAGGGTCTCACTAAGTTGCTCAGTCTCACTAAATTGCCGAGACTGGCTTTGAACTTGTGATCCTCCTGTCTCAGCCTCCAAGCCTCTGGGATTACAGGCATGCATCATCATGGAATAGCTATCTAAATTTAGAAATTTCTTTTAAAAATTTACAAACCTCAGGATGTTTCTGCACTCTGAAATTTTTACAAATGACCACAATAGCAACAAGACAAAGTATGTTTAAATGTACTTTTCATAAATGTCTCATTTGACCCTTAAAACCACTCTACAGGAAAGGTAAGGTAACACATTAAAACCCCTAATTTACAATTGAGGAAACAGTACCTTAGAAAAGTTATGTGATTTGTTCAAGGTAATCAGATATGCTAGAATTCAAGGAAATCCTAACTTCAAATCCCTTTTTCAAGGCTGGGGCTGTAGTTCAGTGGCAGAGCACTTGCCTTTCTTGTGTGAGGCACTGGGTTCAATTCTCAGCACCACATAAAAAAATAAAAAAAATAAAAGCATGCTGTCCAACTACAAAAACCTAAAAAAAAATCCCTTGTTTAGCTATATAACCTTTCTTTACTAAACTGGTAAAGGTGGAATAAAAGATGAGAAATTGAATTACTATCAATAAATAAGAAAAATAAGTGATAACTAGAGAAGAATGCTTGTATTGGTTGGAGAGAACACAAATGGGTCGTTTTTCTACAGAAATCCTTAAATTTTGCCTTTTGATAGGATGTGGGTAAGGACACCCACAAATTATTGGTAGGAATGCAAAATAGCAATGCCTTATAGAGTGAAAATGAACAATTCACATTTGTTTTTATAAAACCCTTTATTTGTATACTCTGCTCAACAACTCCATCATCTAGGAATTTACACTAAGGAAATCTATCCAACAATGTGTTTAAGTAGTGAAAAATGCCGAATAACCAACTAAATAAATTATTACAGCCATATAATGGCATGATATATAGTTGGAAAAAAGCAATTACAAAAGAGTTTACCTCAAAAATATCACATATTCATCTCTGCATTTCTGTGCAGAGATGAATAGGTGAATTTTTCATTGTGATTTTGTATATTTTAAAGTTTTGTATGTGAATGGCTTACTAAATATTTTTCTTTATATGTTTATAATAAGGCATATTAAAGGTTTCCTGGGGGAGGTTGTGAAACTGCAGGGATTTCAAATGAAAATTTTTGCAGCCATTTTTAAAAAGACTATTAAAAAGAAAGCATCACTGGGGGTGTGGCTCTGGTGGGGGGCCTGCCTAGCATGGTCCAGGCCTTGGGTTGGATTTCCCAGCACGGCAGGGGGGATAAAATAAATAAATAAAACATTAATATACTATTACCATTAAAATACCATTGAAAAATAAAGCACTCTACCCTGACTTGCCACCGTGCCTGCCTGTAGCTGCCTGTAGTCCCAGCTACGCTGGAGGTTGAGGTGGGAGGATCGCTTGAGCCCAAGAGTTCCAGACCAGCCTGGTCAACATATCAAGACCCCATCTCAAACAAAATAAAAGCACGCATTATGAATCCTCAGCAAAACCTTTTCAAATTCCAGTCTTTCCTTTGGACCTGTTCCCATTTGGAGGTGGGGGGGGGGAGGGCTTAAAAGGTTGCCTGACCAGTAGCTTGAGTGACACTGATTTCTACCTTTAGTTTGTAATGTGTTCCAGAAAAGAAAGGCAATCACCTAAAAGGCATCTCAAAAAGCACCTCAGAAGGAAAATATTTAGGGGTGTAAGTTTCTCTTCCATTTATTTCCCTCCTGACCTACTACCAGGGCAGTCCAGACTGTGACTGGCCCAGTTTCCCAAATACATCCTAGAGAAGCACATGAGATGCGCCAATTTTCAGTATACGTTTCCAAAAAGACAAGTTTTACTATGTAATGCAGGATAAACAGCAGCCTTCACTACTCATTCTCAACGTAATCAAGAGAAGATGCCGCTGCGCTGCGGGAGCACTACACGAGGACAAAGCGGGGGGCTCCTAGGCTCAGATCCCGCAGGCGACGTGTCGGGGACCGCCTCGGGAACAAGGGCATAGTCCCTGGACACCGCCTTCCCTCCGCCCCCATGACAGACGCTAGGAACCGCGGGGACTGCAACCTGCCGGAGAACCGGGAAAGAGTGGGGTCGCGTAAGCAGGTGCCCAGGTCGCCGCACCAGAGGGAAGACACCGGTCGAAAGGCCAGAGGGACGCTGGCGAACCATCCGCTGGGAGCCTAACCTGGGCGGCCGCTCCCGAAGCTGAACTGGCCGAGCGATCCAAGAAAAACCGGGGAGCGGTCGGGACCTGAGCCGGACCGCCGCATCTTCCCCGCAGCCCCAACCGCCACCCGGAGAACCGCCCATCCCGCGCGGAGGACACGCCCTCTCTGCGGGCCTAGGCCTCTACGCCCCGCCCGTTCCCCAGGGCCGCTCACCCAACCGGGAAATCCCCGCCGTCGCCACCGCCGCCACCGCCGGCCCCCTCGGGCCTCGCCCCTCACAAGGCCGCCGCCTCCTACGGCAGCGGCACCACCACTACCTCAGCCGGGCCGCAAGACCCGGAACCACTTCCTTCCGGAACCGCGTAGCCCCGCCCCCACCCCGCCCACTGTCGCGGCCTCGCGCTGAGCCAGCTCTCCACCGACCCTTCCACACTTCCAACGACTATGCCCCGCCCAGGCTGCTCCGGCCAGAGCGCCTGCGCCCTCTGCCGGCCATTCCCACCTTGACCGTTGTCGAGGGCGCCTGCGTCTTGTTCTTTGCCATTCTCCTTCCTTCCCAGTTCAGCTAGAGCGCTTGCGCCTATTCCCACCCTTGAGCGGGAAGAAAGAAACGCAGTGCGTATGCGAGATCCTGGGGCTGGGGGTCAGGGATTAGAGATTGGCCCTCAGCCAGGTGCAGGAACCTGGTCGTGTGGGCCTTCCAGCCTTCTGTAGATGGATGCACCAGGAAGCATAGGTGGCAGCCTAGCACATGGGTCTGGGCCTTCCATCCTTGCCTTAGGCCACAAAGCCCTTCCAGAAAGGGCTCACCAGAACCTGCTTCTGTGTGTCCTCTCCCTGCCGACTCAGTTTTTAACCATTCCCCTAACCTTTAACCATTTCCCAAGGTCAGAAATGAAGCTTCTACCTGAAAAACAAAACTTCCCCTCAGAGCATTCCAAATAGGTTAATGGTACCACCATCCAATTCAAACTACTAACTCCTGTGTGTGAGTGTGTGTGTGTGTCTGTGTGGATGTGCACAGACACACTGGGACTAGAACCCAGGGCCATGCACATGCTAAGCAAGCACTCTACCACTGAACTATATTCCAGTCCGTCTATTCTTTTTTTATTATTTTTTAGTTGTAGTTGAACACAATATCTTTATTTATTTTTATGTGGTGTTGGGGATCGAACCAGGGTCTCGCCTGTGCTAGGCGAGCACTCTACTGCTGAGCCACAACCCCAGCCCCAGTCTGTCTATTCTTGATCTCTCTCCTCCCACACTCTAGTCACCATCCCCAAAGGCATTATGTCCACACTATCTTGAGTACTGCCTATTACCCTCCTTTGTTACTATTACCTACTGACTACCTGACATTAGTTTTCCTCTCTGCCTGCTTTACTGCTGTCATCCCAATGAAAGCAACATACATGACTGAGCCATGCTTCTTCAACTTACTCAACCCAGATGAACTTTACCCCTACATTGTCCATCCATTCCTTGGTTTGTACTCTAGAAAATCTAGATATTAATCACTGTATACTGCTCCATCTCTATAATCTTACATTTTTCAATTCCACTTAGACTGGCAATCCTCATCCTTGCTATACTATATCTCCCTTAGTCTCAATATATTTGTTCTCCAAATATGATAAATATCTCCCATCCCACGAACATTGTTTTTCATTTAAACCCATGGCCTTTGATTAAAGTCCCTGGCTTACCTGTTGCCACACCCTAATGTCGCACCATCACCTTAAAACATTCCAGTTCTCATCCATGTGTGGTGGAACATGCCTGTATCTGACGCAGAAGGATCACAAGATCCAGGCCAGCTTCAGCAACTTACTGAGAATCTGTCTCAGATAAATTTTTTTATGAATTTTGGAGATGTTACTCAGTGGCAAAGCACACCTGGGTTCAATTCCCAGTGTAATCACTCAGTCAATTAATCCCAGTTATCTATATTTTTCATCCCTACATCTGCCGTTCCAAGCACTGCATGGGGGAAAAAAAATCTCACAACATTTAAAGAATGATGGATGCCACTAACAAATTTGTGGACATCCACCTCAGTGCAAAGTCTTGCTGCCTTAGTAACCCCTTTATATGACCCTGTTGTGTGACCTTTCTTATTGCCAATAATTGCTGCTACAACCTCTTACTGCTGTCTTTAAGTCCTATGCAAATTATCATTTTCCTCTCTTCATAGATCACTTTGCTTCCTGTTTTGCAAAGAAACTTCTTCAGCACAGTTTAAGAGGCTTTTCAATTATCTGGTTCATGCTTACTTTTCATCTTTTTCCACCTTGTACTGTGCACGCTGAGCCACAACAATGCTCTGGCCATACTGAAATTTTTGCATTTTTAAAAATTTTTTTCATTTTATTTATTCTAATTAGTTATATATGACAGCAGAATGCAATTCAATTCATACTACACAAATAGAGAACAATTTTTTTCATGTCTCTGGTTGAACACAAAGTAGAATCACACCATTCATGTCTTCATACATGTATTTAGAATAATGATGTCTGTCTCATTCCACCATCTTT